CATTCTGATAAATGATATCTTTTTAATGTTTTAACTGAAGGAGAAAAGTTTTCAAATATGAGGAAAGCTTCAGTAAAAGAAGAAACCTATTGCGAGACAGTATCACTAGAAGAATATTACGGACCGTTCTTTATATCACCTTGCATCCCAGACAGAGAAACAAAGAAATCGAGGCCTGTCAACACCCTGGCCGCCCCCTAGCCTGGAAGGTAAAGGAGTAGTCCCCAAAACTTGGAAGCGCACCTCGGAGGGAACCTGTCCCACCCCGCTCCCACTCTCGGCGGTGGGGGGAGGCCTAGTCAGTTTCCAGCTGGAGAGGTGACCCAGAGATGTCCCGTGTCACACGTTCACCCCTCTGAAAGCAAGGAAGCCCACTCAGACGCCACCTGCCCCCCGCCTCTCTCACCCTTGTCAGCCCGCGTCCTGCTCTGCGTTTAACCCTTGCGCTGCTCTGTTTGATGAAATATTACCTGCGGAAATAGCTGTGGCGAGGGGAGCGAGGCCCAGGGAAGGCTGAGAGTAGAAAGGGTGCGTCCGCGGAGCTGGGTGATAAATGGGTCAGCGTCTAGCTCTGGGTGGAGGGTCCTACCCCAGCGGCCAATAAAACCTCCGGCATCCGAAGCATCTCTAAGAATTGATTCGGTGGGGATATGAGTCAAGGAGGGTGGCTGGGGTTGAGAAGTGAAGGGGCCGGTTCAGAGTCTCACTTCCTTTTAGACCTCACCTTGAGATCCTGGCGACAACCGTGGCGACCCCAGCCCAGCTTTGGGAAGTGGCAAGCCCCACCTTGAAGTCGTCTAGACAGGACTTGGGAGAAGGGATCCCGAGAAGGGGGCAAGTGCTAGAATCGGAGAGGCCTAACACCCAGGCACCTTGAAAACACGTAGAGCCACCCATTTGTCAATTATTTTAAAACGAACTACATTGTGAATAGTGATAGCGTGCCCTAGAGTCAGAACCCTTGCAGACTCTCCCCAGACCTTAAAGTCACGTTCTTATATAGAATACTTGTGCAATTTCCTCATCCTTTCTCAGCAAGGTCTTAGTTCACTGTACTGTAGGAAAATAAGGTTTTTTTAATCTTTTCTTTCTTTTTTAACTGGTGATGGTCATAGCATTTTGGAAAACTCAAAAGTATAACGAAAAAATAAAAGACTACCAATCATCTTGAGGAAGCCACTATAAATATTTTGTTACTGGGTGTGTGTGTGTGTGTGTGTGGAGAGAGAGAAGCAAGAATAAGAATTGTTTCCTGTTACTACTTTAAATCTTGCTTTTAAAAAAATCACTTAACTTTATAATATAATAATTTTACATTCTATTAAATATTCTTCAAAAACATGATTGCCTATAATGATCCAGATCTGAAATATTTCGGACCCAATTCCAGAGTATAATTCAAAATAATTGAACAATGTGATTGCTAGAATTTTAGGCAATTTTCAATTTCTTGCTACTATTTATTTGTATCGATTTTTGTCATAATTTTTCTTTCCCTAAGATGATGTCTACTTATAGAAAAGCTAAATAAGAGTGTATGGATATTTAGAAGCTCTTGATATATAATGTAAAAAATGTTCTTGCCAGTGAGGTGTTTAGGAAAGTGCATTTATCTTCAGACAGTAAACAGACACAGTAGTAGTCATCAGGTATGTGAAAATCAGAATCTAGAGAGCTGTAGGTTTTTTTTAAGCTATTAAATATTAGAATTTTACGTTTAGAAGATGAAACTATACCCATTGTTTACATAATTTAAATGACAGAAAACACCACTAAAACTTTTTATCAGGTTGGATTTTGGAGCAGAGAGGATTCTCTGGCCTAGAGTGTTTTAGGATGGAGTAGGGCAAGTGAGGTTGTTATGCTTTTCAAAAAGGACTAAAGGTTTTAGAAGCAAAAACACTGGGCCAAATGGTCAGCCTTCCTTTAAGAAAGTATTTTTTGAGATGATATAGATCACTTTATTATCAGGAGTCACTCACATGTTGGGAAAATGGTTTAACTTAACTCTATCATGGTAGTTACTAGTGATAAACTAATGCGTAATTAGCAGACCTGTAAAATATTGTGGCCGCAGACAGCAATAGGCTGGGTTGAGAATGGATGTTTGAAAATTCGAGTCCCCAAAGAAGTAAATGAATATCGTCTTATTTCTGATAGCTAGAGATAATGTACACATTGGGAATAAAGGTTTAAGCTAACTATATAGTGTTTACCGTAAGAGAACACTATGCCGTTAAAGGAGGGGAAAACCCCTAAGAGTTCCCAGATAGCAGTAAACAAATAAATATTTAATTTCAGAAAAGTATGACTATTTTATAAATACACCAAGGAAGAGGTAACAAGGCAATTAGTGTAATTCATCAGGCATGTGTGGATAAGAAACCAGTAACATGAAATTTTATTATATACAATTTCCAGTCATATAAAAAAGTCATAATGAATATATTTGCAAAACTATAAAACTATGTTAAACTAACAACACCATACAGGTCAGCATTAATGTTAAATAATTCATACAAGTTATATTTTTAGCACTGTGGCTCTCAAGGAATTGTATGAGTCCCAACATAATTACCATCCACATATATTCTTAAATCAGCACAACCATAGACATAATATATATAATTGTGAAATATAGAATTACATGCCATTTATAATGAACACTTCCATATGTTTATATATGTGTAAAATTTCATATATGAAGTTGGAGAATTGCACATATTTTCAAAATATTCTATTTTATCTAAGCCATGTGTTCTGACATCAGATATTTGCTGAAAATTGGGCTTTTCATACGATCACTGCATTTTTAAATCACTTTCATTCCTGAAAATTGACTTATACCTAAATAGCAAGAAATAAATGGCTATTTTCAATGAACCTATCATTTTTGTATTTTAACACTTTATACAACAAATATGTTATAAAATGAATATTTCTCTAACTTAAAATAATCACATTATTATCCTATGTACTCCTAAAATAGAAATCAAGTAATTACAGTATTTACATAGGTTAAAAATTTCTACTTCATTACTATAGGTTTTGGATGCAACTTAATAATTTAAATAAAATAGCTTTATATAGAGAATAATGTTAAAAATGAAGATATTAAAAAACATATCATAGTGGCTAAATGCTTGCTGGTAGGGATAAAGCACCGTTTAAAATATGGGATCCTGTTAGTGTTTTAAAATGAACTGAAATCAAATCCAGCAACACCCCTTGAAATTTTTTACAAGCTACTTCTACTAGTACTCAAAAATAACTGAACTTTAATAAAAATATGAAAAAGAAAATGTGTACTTTCCCTATCAATTGTTTGTAGATTTTCGCCAATAGAATTGAGGCACCTAATTAAACACGGGTAGTGTTAACAGTTTTACATTTACATGTAAAAAAATCTACTAACGTTAAAATAAAAAAATAATTCCCCCCTATGCTGGCCTTTGCTTTTTTCAAAACACATATTCCCAGGGAAATAACACCACAAGGAAGGCCACAAAAATGAAGCCTCATTAAATTGTTTTTGGATTTTTCATCCTGGTTCTAATTAGGACTCTATATATTGTAACTATATATATATATTTCAACTATTCTGGTCATAGGAAATTATATCGACTGTGTAAAGAATTATCTGATATGAGGACACAACTACCTAGATTTCTGATTTTCAAGAAGTAGGCCTCATTTTGGGCCTTTTAGTTGGGGCCTGAGATGATTAAAATATGATTGGCGTCATCCTTGGGCTCCGCACTGCAGTTCTGGCTTCTTCTAAACGTATGGGCATTGTCCCGACTCCTTTAGATAACACCAGGCCGCTAAAGAAGAAATCTCCATCTCACTACGAAAGTCAGTTTCTCCTTTGACTTGAAAAAGCAAGTGATTGCTCCTCTTAGAAGTTACTGATCCTGCGATCAATATTACTATTTCGAGAGTAATAGTAATATTTGAGGGTGCGAGCCCCCACCCTCAAACCTCCTCCACTACCGCAAGGAGAGAGGGTTGACCCGGCAGGAAGAAAAAAAGGCGGCCTCTAGAAATCTAAGACCGTTAGTAATACTTTCCTTCAGGGCACAATAAAGTGCTTTTGAAATACACCTTGTGTGTGGATGTGTGTTTGTTTACTGATTCCCGGTAAGGAAATTCAGGAGTGACTGACTTCTGTTTAGAATCTCCCGGTTTCCCCCAGAGTTTCAGGAACTTAAGGAGCTGTGTGAAGGGGGCTCCGGGCTCAACATGTTGGGAGAACTGCACCTCGGAGAAACTGTAACCCGTATGGGGTGAAAGTGGAAGGAGCCTCCAACCCCTGTAACAGCCTCCTCCAACCTCGTCCGGAGGTGACTTATCTGTGCACTAGATTACATCAAACAGAAATCACCCAAGGGCCAACTGCGCCCCGGGATTTTCGAGGCCTTTCCTACCTGGTCTAGGATGCGGTCGCTGCGCTCTGCGCTGGCTCCTCACTAGCATCAGCACGAGGGCCGCAGCGGCCCGCACACTCGGCGCTGCCCACTCACCCGCTGGCCGCGCGATGTGCACCACGAAAGCCCTGACTCGCGGTGGGCCGTCCGCACGCCGAATCCTCACTGTAATCAAGAGCCGGCGCACCATGTTCTCGCCGCCTCGGAGCTCGGCGACCGCTGCGCCGCCTTTTGACTTCAGAGGTAGGCAGCTCGGCGCCCGCCCCCCGAGGATCACAAACTGAGACCCACGCGCAGCCGCCCGCCCATCCCCGCCCCGCAGGCGCGCCCCCGCCCGGGCCGGCGCGCGCTCGCTCGCCCCCAACCTCCTGGAAGCCCAGAACCGTTCTGCGCTCTGCGCGCGCGGGAAAGGCGGGCTGAGGCGCCGGGCGGCGCGCGCGCGGGAGGCTTAGCTTCCTAGGTTCCTCTCTCGCCCGCGCACCTCTCCTTTCCCGCCTTGTCCACGCTGCCCCCCTCCCCTGCCCCGCCACCTTCCCACCCAGCGCGCGGGAGCGCCACGCGGTGACAGCTCCGGGTCCTGACGCCACAACGCATCTCCAGGCAGCCCGCCCCCCTCGCAACATCCGTCACCTGACCCGGCCATATCAGGAACCGCCACGGTCCGGCTCGCGTCCCTGCTTCCCTGTCCCCCTCCCTTTATTCCTCGCGCCCCTCGCTGGCGAGGGGGGCGGGGGGTCCTCCCTTTCTTCAAACCGGATTATTTATAAAACAAAAAGAAAGGGGGAAAAAAAACGCGAAGTCATCTCCTGGCTCTATCCGCCATTCAGGAGGCTGGATGTCAGTTTTTGAAAGAAATGGCGCTACGCTCCACTTCTAGATTTGGGAAACGAGCGGAATTAAAGGAAACTGCTGCGACATCTGGACACTGCGTGGCGCTGGCGCCGCTGGAGCGGCGGGCCCCGCGCCGGACCAGGTAGGCGGAGCCGAACCCCGACTCTCGCTGGGTCGGGGCGCCCCTTCCCCTCCCAGCTCCACGCGCTGCGGAGGGTTCTGGGTTAGGCCAAGAGTCCATTCACCGGGCGATTTTTATTTTCGGTTTTGACATCCCGCTCAGCGAAGCATCTGAACGCTTCTTCCTCTTTCCTCCTCCCGCCGTGCTCCCCTCCCCCACGGCTGCTCCCCGCTCTCCGGGTGTCCCTGCGTCCTCTGGCCCTTCCTCCCGCAGCCTTACCCCCCTCCTCCTCCGGCCCCACGCTGGACACGCTTCCCTCTCGCTGCCCGACTCCCCAGCATGGTCCCTCTTCTCTCTCCTCGCCTCCCTCCCCACCTCCCCCCTCTTTTCTTCCACATCACTGATCCTTTCTTTCTGGACACCCCCACCCACTCCCTGCGCTGCTTTGGTCCACCCGGCACAGGAAAGCGGGGGAAGGAAGGGAAAGAGCCGCATAAAGGAGGTGGGGGGTGGGGGGAGGTTGAGTCGAGGACACCGAGGCGGCCTGAGGACACTCAAGAGCCGGGATCCGGAGCGCAATCGGGCTGGTCCCCGCTCCCGGGCTGGAAAGAGCTTTGACGCGGGCTCGCCGGCTCCCCGAAGGCGAGTGGTCCAGCCCAGGACGCCGCTTGCAGGCGGGCGGCGCTGACCCGATGTCCCCAGCTCCTCGGCTCCGAAGTCGGTCTCGATCGGCCCAGAGCCTCGCGGGCTGGAGGCGCGGCCTGGCCGCTCGGCGTGGAAGAGAGGGTGTGGGACTAGGCCCAGCCTTCGGAGCCTGAAAGGTGGACCACATTGAAGTGGCTTCTTTTGCTTGTGCCCGAGCCTAGTGGCCAAGCTGCAGAAGTGGATCCCTAGCGAGACAGCCGACAGGTCCTCTGGCGCGAACGCCGAGCTCCTCACTATCTGGAGGAGGCAAGTGGGACTCGGATGCTGCGAGCCACACCGCGCTGTAACGGTGAGGCCAGGTCCAGCTGCACTCGGGCGGCTTCCACTCCCCATCCCTCACTTCCGCACAGGACGCAGCCTCCTGACTGGCCGGTTGAAGTGAGACTCAGGGGCCAGGCTTAAATGTTTTTGTTTAGTTGCTAAGTCACGTCCGACAGTTTGCTTGGACTGGTGTCTGCCAAGCTCTTCTGTCCATGGGATTTACGAGGCAAGAATACCGTAGAGGGTTACCATTTCCTTCTCCAGGGGATCTTCCCGACGCAGGGATCCAACCGGTGTCGGCGTCTCCTGCATTGGCAGGAGGACTCTTTGGGATTGAGCCACCAGGGAAGCCCCAGGCTCCAATAGCCACTGTAAATAAATTACAAATGCACCTCTCCTCTCTCCTGTAGGGCTCCCTCAGACTTTCCTGACCATCCAGGCTCCATGCTGAGGCTGCTTGCCACCCTTGTGTGACAATGAATGCGCTTTCTCGTTCTTCACAAGGTTAGCTCGTTCTTCTTCAGGTCTCTTGTCAGGTATCCGCCCTCAGAAACTCCTCTAGGCACTGTATTCCCCCCACCCCCACCCCCACCCCTAAAGCGCTTACCCTGCAGAAGTTACTGTAAGTAACTATTTGTCTCTCAGTAGTTAGTATGTAACCTCCATGGAAGACGGATCTTGCTCTGGTTTTCACTATGCCCAAGATCCCCTCCTTCACTTCTCTCCTCCCCCCACCCCCACCCCCAAAAAAACTTCATAGGAGAGATGGGCTTGTAAAAACTTACGATTATAATGAGGGAATTTTCGTTTTCTGGCAAACAGAGGAAAGGTGTTTTAGGAGATGGGGGATAAGAGAAAGAATCCTGGAGGAGAAATACTGCCCAATTGCAGCTTAGTATCATTTAAGCACCCTGGAGAAGTGGAAGAGTGAACCCAGGCAGTGTTATTAGCTGTGGCAGTAAACTATGATGGGTGAGGATGAGAAGACCTGTGTTACACATTTCTGTATTATCATTTCTTGAAATTATTAGTCAGGGTTCTCTAGAGAGACAGAACCAAATGTGTGTGTTTCTATGATTTATTTTAAGGAATTGGCTTACCCCAGTTTTGGGGGCTGGCAAAACTTGAAGTCCGCATGACAAATAGGCAGGCTGGAGACTGAGAGAAGAGTTGATGTTGCAATTTTGAGTCAGAAGGCAGCAGCCTGGAGACTGAATTCTTTCTTCTTTGGGCAACCTCTCTTTCACCTAAGGCCTTCAACTAACCGGATGAGGCCCACACACATTATGGAGGATAATCTGCTATACTTAAAGTCTGTGGATTTAAATGTTAATTATATATTAAAAATAGCTTTATAGCAATAGCTTTATAGCAATATCTTAACTGGTGTTTGACAAAACAATTGGATATCATAGCCTTGCCAAGCTGACACATAAAATTAAACCTCACATTATCCTATTATTCCTAAAAGGTCTGCTGAGCTTCAGTTTCCCAAATGAAGTTTTAAACTTCATTTAAACTTCCCCAAGTTTAAATTCGGGGATCTGTCTGTATTGATTTGGCCTGTATAGCTTCACCTGTAACCATTTCCTCTCCACCTAAACTTGTTCTGGGAATAAAGGGAGTTACCCACTTCAGAAGAGTGCCATTTGAATGACAGCACAGAATAAAACGACTATACAATAAGCTCTATATAGTAGTGAATGAACAGTTCAATGAGTATAAAAGACTCAAACTTAAATTCCATCTTGGTTTTCCCTTGCTGCCCAGCACCTGTGTTTTTTGAGTTGTGGTATACAGGGGAATTCTATCTCATTTTAATATTAGACTAAGCAAAATATAATTATGAAGATGAATCTTTACCAACACAACTAACTTGTGGCATTCCAAAGCCATTTGGAGTTTCACATGACTTGAGCTATGTGTTCTTCAAAAACAGTATGACCAAGAGCTGGGCAGTATTATTTGTATGCACTTTGGCTTCTGTTACTTATTTTATCCTCACTGTGGCCCTTTGAATTTGGAATTACTACCCTGTCTTACAGGTGAGAAGACTGAGGCCTAGACGGACTAAAATCTTGGATACTTTATGACCTGCAAGTGCCAAGGCTGGAATCATTAAGAAAGTCTTTGGACTAAAATCCTTGTGCCCTTTCTGTTGTTCTACAGGCTAGAGTCAACAGGAAGTGAGCTTTTGATGGGTCATTTTTGGCCTAAAAATGAACTTTGTAGATTTGAGTGTTTGAATGGAGGAAAATGATTTTTTACTTTTAAAAATGATTTCTATTTTGGATCAGCAAATTCATTCCACAGGCAGAGATAGGAGTGGGCATTTTACTAATGATTTGTCTGTACCATCCAACTCTACTACCTCCAGCCATGATGTCCTAGAGACAGCTAGCTTTTTCCCTCAGGTATCTCTTAATATCAAAATTCTGTAAGAAATTTTCCTAATATTGCACATGCTCAAACTAAAAATCCCAAAGGTGTAAGACACAGGATACTATAAGTAAGATTTTAAAACTATTATTTGAACATATATACAAAAGATTAACTCTTAGAATATATGAATACATAAGTGAGTTAGAAAAATAACCCAGTAAGAATGGTAGCAAATAATATAATGGGCAGTTTAGAAGATATTGAAATAGTCAAATGGTAAAAAACTATGAAAATATATTCAGCTTTACTGATTAGTAAAGAAATGTAGCAAAAACACTGACATATACCTATAGGTATGGCAGAAATAAAAGGAGTGATAATATTGGGAAAGTTGTCAGAAAACAATCATCCTTACATACTATTGCAACTTGGTACATTCATTTTGGAAAGCAACTTTATAGTCTCTATTAAAACTGCATACATATACATACCCTTTGATTCAGCAATCCCACTGAGTTTATGTATGCACGTATACACATACGTAAATATAGGTATGGAAATATTTATACTATTTGTGTAGAGTTTATATGTGTATGAAAGAAATGCATATTACATATATATGTATACATGTACTACCCTTTGACTTTGCAATTCTACTCCTATAACTCATCTAAGTATGAGAAGTATATATGTATATATATGTGTATATATTATTAAAGATATACACCTACACACATATATACAAACATAAGTATGGAAAGATTTTATACACACATATGTGCAGACATATACTGTATGCATGTGTGTTTGTGTGTGTGAGAGGAAAGAGATGTACCTTTAACCTTAGCAATATCACTTCTATAAATGCTACAGATTGCTCATATAGGGATGAAAAAAAAGGTTCTTTATAGCAGCATATGTAGTAGCAAAAAAAAAATAAGGAAACAGTTTACATGTTTGTCAATAAGAAACTGATTTTTAAAAATTTGGGTTTATCCATAAAATATAAACTATGCAACTATACAAAAAATGAAGTGCATCTTTATTTCCTAATGCAGGTTGTCAAAGATCTACTACCAAAGAAAACAAGTTGCAGAATGGTTTTCTAAATGTGTGTGTTGGGAAGGGGTGTTTACAATTATATGTACTTATATTTCTGGAAAGTTGATTAATTTTAAAAAAAAGCAGTTACTCATGGATAGTGAGAATGGTGGGTAGGGAAGTTTCAGGAGGTATTTACTTAATTCTGTTTATTTTCTGAACTGTTTGAGTTTACTATGAACCAGAATTTTAAAATAACAACTACAGAAATTTTCATCTTCAGAACTAGAGATTCTAATTTTGTAGTCCTGAAGTGGTCAGTGACTTCAAAATTTGAAACACAAATGATTAAGAGCCAGGGCTGAGAATCACTTCCCTACATGTTGGTCTCAAATGACTGGTGGGGAAAGCACCATCATTTATACAGATGTAATAAATACCTGGGGCACATATAAAATGAAATGTCATGTAACTTTTCCCTAGAAAGGGGATGGCATATTCTTCTGTTCAAGATAGAATTTAAACAGATCAAAAGGCTCCTGAAGCTCTGGAATAGATCCATATATAATATCTGTAACTATCAAAGGCAGTCCAGAGATTAGAGAGTAATAGAGAATGACAAAATATTTTAGGGAAGGTTATAGCTTATAATTCTAAATTGGCATGTTGGAAGCAGATACAGAAGACTGTACAGGGTACGGTACTTACTTTTGTGTCCTAGGAAAGGTGATAGAGTTTAGTAACTCATAACCCACAGACAGAATGAGAAGCCAATTTCCCAAAATTCACAGAAGAAAACTCTGTGTGTTATTGATAATCTGTTGACCTACCTGTGGCTTTGTTAATAGAAAAAGTGCTTACTATTTTGTTTATATGTTATCTCTTATAAACATATTATTAAATATGTAATGACACATACTAAAATTATTTACAGCTTAATCTGATAAAGAAAACAAAATGCAATTATGTATATTAAGAGATGAGTGAAAACTGAAGAGCAATGAATAATTTTTACCTATCTGGTTTAGGGCTATTTTGAAAACCACTCAAACAGCAGACACTCATGACTGACTCCCACTCTTAGCCACACCTTTCTTCTTGTCAGAAGAAAGTGGAATTCTCAGTGAAATGCAGTTTTCAACTAAAGCAAAGGGATGAAGAAATTTGTGATGAGATAGGGAAGTGGAGTGGAGTTTGGTTGAAATGAAATGGAGACCCAGAAGTCACACAAGAAAAGAGTTCAAAGGCAGTAGCTCCAATCCTGCCAGAATATAGAGTATTCCAAAGGAAAACAGATTATGCATTTTGGGAGAAGGCCAAATTTGAAATGGAAACAAGGCATGTTTTAATTACTGTAATTGGTCTTAAAAGTTTTCACCTTAACTCTGTGGTAAAACATTTTATGTGCCAGCACTGACTGTATAGATCTACTGGAGGTCTAATGTCAGGGCTTCTGAATGGGAAGGGGATTAACAGGTGTTTGGAGTTCTCTGTAAACTTCAAAGAAAATGTAGATGTCTATGAGACAGTCATTGTATCATCTTTGTACGTCTCTCCATTTTTTTTTAACCTCCAGAAAAACATTTGGTTTATATTGATTTAAAACTTCAAATTAGAAAATCAGAATTGGGTGCTCAGTTGGGAAATACATAATTTATATTACTGTGCTTAATATGTAATCCATGCCAGTTATGTGTTATTTCATCAGTAGTACTGGCTTCAAAGCAAAATTTTCTATATTACATAATTAACAAAGTGGTGATACGTACAAGTTATTTACATAGAGTAAAAAGGACTCCTACCCTGGTGGCTTAGACGGTAGAGAATCCATCTACCAATGCAGGAGACCTGGGTTTGATTCCTGTGTCAGAAAGATACCCTGAAGAACGAAATGGCAACCCACTCCTTGGAGTGAGGAGCCTGGCAGGCTACAGCCCATGGGGTTGCAAGGAGTTGGACACGACGGAGGGACTAACACATGCACACATACCATTTATAAAAGCTGATCCTGAGAAAAGCTTTATAGAAAATCCAGACAGTAGGGAATGAGCAGACTCCCATTATTTTAGGCCTGGAGATATTTCACAAACCCTACCAGTGTGTAGATCATATACAGTTAGTTTTGGTTTGATTTGATTAATTCTGTTGAGCTACTCACTGATCCATCTTCTACAAAACACCACATGCCTCTCCTCCTTCTATTCCTTTCTTTTCATCTCATTCTCCACCCTCCTGAAATGGCTGACTCATACATATTCAAAACAAAGATCATGGCATCTGGTCCCATCACTTCATGGCAAATAGATGGGAAAACAATGGAAACAGTGACAGACTTTATTTTCTTGGGCTCCAAAATGACTGCAGATGGTGACTGCAGCCATGAAATTAAAAGATGCTTGCTCCTTGGAAGAAAAGCTATGACCAACCTAGACAGCACATTAAAAAGCAGAGACATTACTTTGCTGACAAAGGTCCATCTAGTCAAAGTTATCATTTTCCAGTAGTTACGTATGGTTGTGAGAGTTGGACCATAAAGCAAGCTGAGCTCCTAAGAATTGATGCTTTTGAACTGTGGTATTGGAGAAGACTTGAGAGTCCGTTGGACTGCAAGGAGATCCAACCAGTCAATCCTAAAGGAGATCAGTCCTGAATATTCACTGGAAGGATTGATGCTGAAGGTCCAATACTTTGGCCACCTGATGTGAAGAACTGACTCACTGGCAAAGACCCTGATGCTGGGAAAGATTAAAGGCAGAAGGGGAAGGGGACAGAGGATGGACATGAGTTTGAGCAAGCTCTGGGAGTTGGTGATGGACAGGGAAGCCTGGCGTGCTGCAGTCATGAGATCGAAAAGAGTGGGACAGGACTGAATGACTGAACTGAACTGTACTTATTCAGGTGATACTAAGCTCTTCCCAGACCAGCTGGTTCCTACCATCACCTAACACTTAGGGACCTAAAACTTCATAATCCAATGGAAACAAATGAGAAAGTGCAGACCTTTAGAAATGGGTCCTTAAAATCCATTATTTTACAGAGTTATTTTACAGAGCTATTTACAGAGTTATTCATCTTCTAATGACATTTCTACATATTTTAGCATTCTCATGCTTCGCACTTTCTATTCCTTCCAAAATCCCCAACCTTTTTTCTTGGTTTTAACTCTTATACCAACTCCTTTTAGGTCAGAATCACTTGTAATAAGTGTACTTAAAAAACATCATTCCTTTCAGAGCATTTCGTTGGTAGATACCTACTTAAGCATTATTTTAATAAATTTATTGGGTTTACCTGCTTATCTCACTTAAAGAACTGAGTTCTGAGTGACATGAGATAAATGCAAAACACGACAACAAAAAATCAGGTAAGATGGAGTAAGAAAGTGCTTAAAATTAAACTACATATTTATTTTACAAAGCATCTTTTTTGTGCTAGTTCCCACAGACTTGTCTCTAACTTTTCAATTAACTGGTAGAGGTGGTACTTATAAAGATCTCCCATTCCCCAGGGCTCCAGAATTTTAAAATGTATCACTTCTCTCTCTTCCTTTATATAGCTTTTCTTGGCTCAGACAGACCATGGCAAAATAATTACTAATAAAATATAAGACCAAATTACAGTCATGTATATGACAAACTTATAAAGGGATAAAATGTTAGTGATAGTTGGGAGCTTAAGAATAATCTAGTACCACTCCCATTTTTTATAGATGAGGAAATTGGGGCTAATTATGTCATTTGATTTAGTAGATCATATATTGAATTATTTGAAGAACCAATACCAGATTCCAGGTCTCCTACCTTCCATTCAAGTCCTAATTTCTCTTTCCTTCATTCCCTCATTCTTCCCTGGAATTTTAAATTGAACAGGAAGAGATGTTGAAAGTATTGTGCTCTTGTTGCTCTCTCCAAGTAATTTAAAAAATTAAAATGTTCTTATTTTCTTAGGTATTTACACCTCCCCTCCCCATCTTTTTAAACCTGGTAATTAAATGCAATGAAATTACACCAACCTAGGTTTTCACAAGTAATGGGATAGTTTGTTAATAGTGAAACCCTAGTATTCATATCAGATTTTGGTTATGATTAGTTGCTGACATTATGTTATGATTATAATGGTTATGATTAGCTGTCATCTGATACTGTAGATGACACCAGCTTTTCCATTTGTTTCAGAAAGTAGTCCACAAGAGTGTTTCTAAGGTTTTAGAATCACTGATTCTAATTGCTCTTTTTTTTGTTTTTGTTAGAGTGCCAACATCTTGAACTTTGGAAAAGAAAAATAAGCATGTCTTGGTTTTTAAAATAATTGATAATTATGGAGGTAGTTAAAAAAAATCCCTATTGACTATTACATATTAGCACACAAATAATTTGTTTTTTAACATTTCCCATAAAGGAAGGGCAATATAGAATCTCAATGTGATTGGTGTAAGTTAAGTTAGTTTTATTTATTTGCTGAAGGTCAGTTACCTAGCTTTATAAAATGAACTTATTTGGTCCTGGACACCATATTCATATTGTTTTTCTCATAACACAGAAATAAAATTTTAAGGCATTCCTATGAACACACTTTCCCAAAGCCGTTAGGAGCTGTATGAATCTTGAGCTCTCAGAATTTATTTCATACCTTATATTTGAAATTACTAATTTTAGCCATTAGAACATAGGAAATTTTAAATAGATTTTGCTTTCATAGTAAATCATCCTTATTCTCATCCATTCCCTCAGCTGAAAAAATATAAAAATGAGGCCAAATGAATACATTATTGAATTATAAATTTATTTTACTTCCAGATCTTGCAGTGAAGGTCAGGTGATAAGATTTTTACAAACCTTGGTAATATTTTAGATTTAGATACAGAAATTAACATGTATATTTTTCTGTAATTGTAAAATAGAGCCAGAAGCAGGGCTCATGTATATAGAGCTATGTTTATTTGCATGTATCCTTCAAAGTAAAATCTTAAACAGATTTAACATATGTATTTCTTGTGTGGCTGATAAAACACATTGGCCATACCTGCCTACCAGGTGGATTTGAAATCTGAATTTACTTTTAAATGCATCATAAATATTTCAGTGCCACCAGGTGGTACTTGATTTCCCAATAATGTATGATGTTTTGGCATATATATATATGTGTATATATATATGAATCTCACAGTACCCTGTAGTACCCAACCATATTTTCTTGATTTACTTTCCATTAATATAAGGTTGTCACCAGATTCCACAACTCCCTTAAATTAGGAATGGAATTCACAGCCAAAACCTTGGTGTCCAATCTCAACTTTTCTTTTTAACATTAAAACAGTGAAATATCAGTTATTCCAATGCTGTAATGAATCAAGCAACACTGGAAATTAAATCCCCAAACAGTACACCTTTAGTTTGTTCAGCAGATAGTAAGACATTTCACGAGCCATCATTACGTAGTTTCAACAGTTTCACACTGTCTACTCCTTCAGCAACCCTTTGGGAGATATCCTGAGATCATTTACTGGGTAAGTGCATGGATCTTCTAAAAAACGTTTGTAATATTTCATAGTTTGACCATGGAGACACTCCAGTAAAGGAAACAAACTTTAACAAAGAAATAAATAGGTTAAGGACTGAAGTAATCTGGGAGGTGGCACGGTGCCATAGCTTCGCATAAAAGCTGTCGTTCTTCCTCACTTCCTTCCCAAGGGCCGCGAGTTACTTTGTTATTTAAAGTCTCCGAATTAAGACTGCTACTGAAGAACAACCCAGAAGTACAAAATATCACGAAATCTTTTCAAGTGGCAATTTACAGGGGGCTTTCTGAATCCTATCGTATAGAGATCAAACAAATCGTTAACAGTTAATGGCCTACCTACAATCGCTCTTGCTACAACCCGGACCTGTCTGTCCGAGGACGGAACACCGCAGGAATCTCGCCTTAGCAACAGCAAATGAGCGCCCCTTTCGGAGAGCCGTTCAGCATCACCTAGACCTGGGGACTTTAGAATTAGCGGGCAAATCGAGGTGACTTCCGGGTCCTCTCTTCCCCATCGCTATCTGATGGGACTGGACAAGAGGCCCCAAGGCTTCCAGTCGGTAGCTTTTTGCTCGCGACCCGCCCCGCTCCGCAATCCTGTAAAGGAGGCTTTGGTCGCCTACTGAGCCCGGGTCGATCTTCGTCCTCGTCATTGTCTGGTCCTCCAGCTCCAGATTTTCCCTCAGGGCCCGACGCCTGAAGTGGGGACTTACAGGGGGGTCCTTCAAGGTCAGTGGGGCGATCGTTATCACCTGCCTGCAACCTGAAGGCTAGCTGCCACCGCCTCCCACTCCGCCCCAGCACCTTCTGTGTGAAGATTCACAGCACTTGGGTTTGTTCATGGACTTGCTCACGTGCCGCTTTTCACCAGAAAACCCTGAAAAACAAACGCGGGAGTTCCACATTCGGCTCCTACTGGAAATCCATGTGCCCCACCTCTCTTCATTTTGCTTCACGGTGAGTGCCAAGGGCGATATCCAGAGGGGGTGGGGGGGGGCGGAGAAAAAATTATTTCCAGTCAGCTCCTCCTTCGCTGCCGGGAATCCAGTCGCCCAGGAAGACTTCCGCTATTCCAGGTTTGCAGCCCTCTTTGAACTAAGTTGGGGTGGCGAACTGGAGAGAAAAAACAGTCGTTGTGGGCGGCTATGTACGCGTGCCCTCAGTCTCCCGCGGCCGCGCGCAGGTACCCGGCGACGTCGCGGTGGCCCCGCTCTTCAGCCAGGTCCACGGGCTGGCGGCCCCACGCATCGCGCACATCCAGCCGCGCCCCGGCTCGGTGCAGGGCTACCAGCGTGTCCAGGAAGCCCTCCCGGGCGGCGTCGTGCACCGGTCGGGTGAGCGTGGCGGGGTCCGCGCAGTTGGGGTCCGCGCCGTGGAGCAGCAGCAGCTCGGCTACTCGGGCGCTGCCCATCATCATCACCTGCCGGAGAGAGCAGAGTGGTCAGGACAGGTGGGGGCAAGTAGAGTCTTTTCAAAAAAAGACCTATTCATGATCCCCAGGCCCTTACAAGCCTCGGAAGTCTAGTTAAGCTTAATTTACTGACGCAAATCCCCCCTCTCGCCCCCCCCCCCACCGCTCCCCGACACCTAGCAGCCCCAGTTTATACTCTACTCAGACCTAATTAATTAGTTCAGTTTTATTCTCCAAACGTGGGAAGACAAGGAAAGAGCTGGTAACAAAGTGCTTATCGCCGTTGTGGGAAAAGTTTTTAAAAATGTCCATTGAAACGGTAATCTATGTTGTTAAATGATGTTAAGTTTAAGGACTTAAAGGACTTAAGTTTAAGGCAGAGTTAAGTTTAAGGACTTTTACAATCTTAAATTTATTTCCCTTGCTCTCCCCTCCCCCACCCAGCCATAATCCCCATCTAAAAAATTTACTAGGCAGTCAGCTGATATATTTATTTTAGACATTAGAGTAATGCTTTAGGAGAGAAAATAAGAAACTACGTTTAAAACAAGGTTTACTTTGTTTATTTCTTGTGGTAAATCCCCTGTGGGAAGGCTTTTACTTTTCACTGTTATATGTCTCTGCTCATAAAGGGCGTATATATAGTCCCATAATTTGAGCCACAGTGTGAGATAGAGGGGGGGAAAGTAAAGTCGTGCATAGTTTTATAAGACGATGAAAACAAACTATTTGTTTTCAATCAATGATTCACCACTTTTAATATTTAACATTATAGATAAGGGCTAAAGTTTAGAGGATAATATATTTGATGTAACATAAAATAGACACTATATTTGCATTGTACAGGATTTTATAATGTGCTAGGATTTTATATTGTTAAACAGTAAACATTTTGCTATCTAAAAAGGAGCTTGGATTTTAGCAGTCAAATCAGAGCAATGCATAACTTAGAAAAACGATGTTTTGAAGCAGTAATCCTACAGTATCCCTTTGTGTACATGTACATTATGCCAGCATTTACTTTCTTATTTTAACAATTGATAATTAAATATTCAAAATGAAATTATATGTTCTTGTGAGTTTATGCTTTAATATGTACCATGGAATCAAAATATAGTATGCTAATTTTTTTCGTTGTTCCATGGTTATTGAAAACATCCATCTCCTCCCTTAAAAACCATGATATATTTTCTATTAGTGATGTAAAGTGCATCTCATATATAGAGGAGAAAAAGTGGCTCTTAATATCTCAGAATATGGTGAATTAAAATGACAAAAGCCCCCTTGTACAGTTACTAATATAAGTTGAAGTCTTTAAGGACTACTTTAAAATATTTTTGCTGCTTTAAATAATCCCTCACTTCTTCCAACATTTTCTATAAATTCAAAATGAATGAATACATATTTAAAAACTGCATGATTAACAAGATTTCTTACTAATGACTTGGTTCTGGAAGATGATTGTGAGGTGAATACTAATTTTTAGTACTTAATACTGCTGACTACATGATCAACAGTAAAACACAAAGTACTACCTTAGATTTTAAAGAAATTAAAAAAATATATATCAGCACTAATTAAAGTGGGATTAATAGTTAAACATATCGAATAAATGAATTTTAACAAGGAAGAGGCTAATTATTCATAAAGACCCTTTGCCATTTAACAAAGCTGCAGGGATGTTTATGTAATCCAAGCATTCAGTATGATAAAAATCTATAGAAGCATATTTTCTCTTATGTAACACTCAAGAAACACTGCTAACGTAAAATAAAAGGAATTAAATACTGTGGTTGACGAATCCTGACATTACTTTGTATTCAATTCACCTTTGTATTTATTCAATTCAATGAGGAAAGAATATAACATTTCATATCGCAGCTTAAAAATTCAGGATGATTTTTATGTGCTGTGATGTAGAATTCCTTAAATCCAATCCAAATTGCGTAACTTGTAATCTAATTATCTCTATCGTTGAAAACTGATCGCTATTTGTTGAAGGACAAACAGATGAGACAAAGCAGTTCTCCCCAAATAGCCTCTCCTTCCCTTTCCTGCCCAGGTGAACCTATCTCTTTCATCTGTTATGAGATGGGACAGGGAATACTGGCCTTCCCCCACCCCCACCACCACCCCCCATTAAAAAGAAAAGCAAACTGAAGTAGCGGGGTTTCCAGTCCCTTCCTTTAGAATTTCTGATGAGTGAAAACCTGCTTTACACCTGAGCTCCATACTCCAGCAAAGAGACACAGGTCTGTTCGTGGAGATCTCAGTTCCAGCCGCGTCCACGGAGGCGGCGGCCCCGTGTTCGTGCGCCCCCTGCCGGCGAGGCCCGGGGCCCCCAACTACCTGGATCGGGCGTCTCCCGAAGCGGTTGAGTCTGTTGGGATCCACACCGGCTTCGAGGAGCTGCCGCACGGCCTCCACTTGGCCCCGCGCCGCGGCGTTGGCCAGGTCCGCATCACCGCCACCACCACTGAGCATGCCCTTGTCCTCTTCGCTGACTTCGCAGCCCCCAGGCGCAAACTGTCCCGGATAATCCACCGCTGGCCGTGAACTTCGCAACACCCTTCCCTCCCTTCCCACCTCGCCCTGGAGAGCTCTCCCCACTCGGGAAGAGCTCAGCTCAGCTTCAGCCCCCCTTTGCCGTCCTTCTGCGGCTACAGGGGTCGGTACAATGGCCGAACGGCCCGTAGTTAAAGCCGGGATTTCCCCGGATGGTTCCCAGGAAAATGCGCCTCGCGCAGCAGCAACCTTGCGCGAACCCGCTCTGGTTGCACTGTGCGGGCGCGTCACAGAGTCCGCACCGCGGAGCTTCCCTCCGGCGGAGCGGAGAGCCGGCCGGGACTGAACCCGTTCCCAGCTGGGCTGTCGGGAGGCGCTCTCCCACCTCCTTAGGCTCCGCCCGCTGCGGGTCCGGGCACGTCCCACCGTGTCAGCGCGGAGGCCAGGCCCGCGGCTGACGTTTCAGCCTAAGAGGGTAGGGGCGGGGGAGAGCAGGCCAGATGGTGCCCGGCCGCATGCGCCGGACAACGCCGAGCGGGGCCCGCTGTGCTGATGCCTGTGGGGTATCCCGCAATTCTAGGTTAAGTTTTTTGGAGCAACTGAAGCAGTGTACTCAGCTCCTGATCTCCTCCTTCCAGCAGGCGGAGCAGAGGATTTCTAGTTCTTCAGTCCCGGCCCAGCCGCTCTCACTTGGAGATGTTAGTCGCTCCCTGTGTAATCAAAAGGCCGGGCATTTGAAATAACCTTGTCTCAAGATGTCTTAAACGGACAGCTCTGCCCCTCTCCGGCAGGTTACATTCATCCCAGGTTGTACTTGAATTTCACTTGCTTCACATCTTGCATCAAATTTAGCAGTTGGGAAGAGGGTGTCTATTTGACTCAGCAAAAAATGGGTCTGACTGAAAAATCCCGCGAGTCGTATTTTGAATGTGTTTTTTATTCTTTTCATCTTTAAATTATGGATGCAATACTACAAAGTAAAAACAACCCACAAAAACAAACAAAAAACTTAGCCAGCTACCTCCCCCCCCCCCGCCCCCAACACACCTAGTTTGAGAGTTGTAGAGCTTGGTACGTCGGACACTTAAAAAATATTAATATACATTTTAAGAACTTGAGATCTCAGTTTCATGATATTTGAACTATTTTTGTTTGCACTCTTACCTATTTAAACCCACCTCAGCAAGTATTTGATTTCCATTTATCATGGGTAGTAAAGGAAATTATGCAGTAATAATGAAACATAATAAAACAGGGGTGGGGCGCTGGGGCCTGTCATTAAACAGGCTGAACCTGTCATTAAACCCACTTCTGAAGATTTAAAGACCAAGTGCTTTGCTTTTCTTCCTAATCTTCGTGAGTTTGTATTAACAGATGCATTGCTTTAAAGGTTAAAAAAGCTACAGCTGATGCGCTATTGAAATAAGAGAACCACAAGTTATGTATTTGTATTTCCTCACAGAAAACTTTGGTGAGGAGCTTCATTATAATGCCCCTAACATTTACAGTTCTTATCTTGAACATCCTTTTTGGTTTATAGTGCTGAGAAACACAAAGGGAGGACAATTGAAGTAAGAAACTTCACATGTTTCCTCTATAGTGTATCTTATTTTGGACTCTTGGTTCCAATCCACTGTAGAATAAAGAAGAGCTCTTTATGGACAGGGTGGGGAGGTCTGGAAGTGTGGTGGTTAGGGCTATAGATTTGCTGACTGAGTCTCAACAGGGTTGAAATTCACCTGGATGGGGAAGGGAAGGGGGCAACATCAATAACATATTTTTTCTCTCTCACCACACCTTCATTTCTTAGTTTTCATAGTTTATTTCCTCTCTCACTCTTATTTGAACCTCTACTCTTATCTATGGAAAAAAAAAAAACCAAAACACCTTGTCCTTTTATTTGTTGGTGATGATTCTATTCCTAGTCTGGCCAGAAGAACAGAAGTCTGCTGCTGGATGAAAAACATGAATAACTCTTTTTGTCTTAGAGGCCAGTTCTCATGCACAGTGTATTTGAGATTACAGGTGTGCTGGTTGAATGGGAGAAGGAAGAGAAAAGATGAACAGTAGGAAGCTAGAGACTTTGAAATGAATGGCATTGGGTCTCTCCAAGTTACCCTGAGGAGCTGAATCACTAGACTGATATTGGCAGATATGGTGGCAAATGGGCTCAGACAAAAATATCTTCATCAGAGCAGCCTGATTACTCTGAAACTTAGTGCACAGCCAGATGCAACACGGCATTAGAGGGAAAATTCTTGGATCTTCCCTCTAATGAATTCAGCAATTAAATTTAGTTCAAGAATACTTAGTTCAGCATATGTTATACTACATTTCACAGTTGAACAAGATATTGGTCCTAGATTTTAAACCAACAAATAGAGAGTTTGAGAATAAATGAAATCCCTATCAAAATCCCAATGGCATTTTTCAAAGAAATAGAACAAATAATACTAAAATTTATATGGAACCACAAAAATTCCAAGTAGCCAAAGCCATCTTGAGAAAGAACAGCAAAGCAAGAGGTATCACACTTTCCTGATTTCAAACTATATTACAAAGCTACAGTTATTAAAATAGAATGGCATTGGCATAAATAAGGAAATAAAGATCAATGAGATAGAATTGGAAGCCTAGAAATAAATCCATAGTTATCTGGTCAATTAATTTATGACAAGGGAGCCAAGACTATACAATGTGGAAAGGAAAGTTTCTTCAAAAAATGCTGTGCAGAAAACTGGAAAGCCACATGAATAATAATGAACCTTGACAGCTATCTTACACCATACCCCAAGATTGACTCAAGATAATTAAAGAGTTGAATGTAAGTCCTTAAACCATAAAACTCCTAGAAGTGGTAAGAAGTGGTAAAACTCATAGGTAGTAAGCTCCTCGACATAGGACTTGGCAATGATTTTTTGACTCTGACAACAAAAGCAAAGATAACTAAGTGGGACTACATCATACTAAAAAACTTCTTCACAGAAAAGTAAATCATCAACAAAATGAAAGGCACCCTATGATTGGGAGACAATATTTCTAAACTATATATCTGATAAGGGACTAACATCCAAAATATATAAAGATCTCATACAACTCAATAGCAAAACCCCAAACAATCCAACTAGAAAATGGGCAGAAAGTCTGAATAGACATTTTCCCAAAGAAGACATACAGATGGCCAGCAGGTACATGAAATGATGTATAACATCACTAATCACCAGGAAAATGCAAATCAAAACCACAGTGAGATATCATCTCAAACTTGTTAAAATCACTATTATCAGAAAGACAAGAAATAACAAGTGTTGGCAAGGATGTGGAGAAAAGGCAACCCCAGTACACAGTTCATGGGATATAAATTGATGCAGCCACTGTGAAAATCAGTATGGAGCTTCCTCAAAAAAGTGAAAATAGAACCACCATATGATCCAGAAATTCTACTTCTGTATATTTATCTGAAGAGAATGAAACTACTAACTCAAAAAGATACATAAATCCCCATGTTCACTGCAGAATTATTTACAACAGCCAAGATATGGAAACAACCTGTGTGTCCACTGATGGATATATGGATAAGCAACTTGTCGAATATATATTTTAGCTACAAGGAGATTTAGATCTTGCCATTTGTGATAATATAAATGGAACTTGAGGGCATTATGATAAGTGAAATAAGTCAGACAAAGACAAATACTGTATGATCTCTTTTATATGTAGAGTCTAAAATGAAACAAAATCCCTCCCTCAAAAAACAAAAGTAAACTCATTAATACAGAAAACAGATTGTTGGTTGCAAGAGACAGGGAGTGCAGGCTGTGTGAAAAATGGGTGAACTTTTTTTTTTAGCTTGAATAAATTGTTTTAATAAATGTAAAAATGTATTCCCACTTTTATTGTAACAGCAGTCTCATCTTTGTCAGCTCTACAATTTCTCCTTTGGTATAGTCTCTTGTTTGAAGTCTTGTTCACCCCTACAGCAAGTTAGAATACTTGTGAAGTTAGGGGGACGAAATCCAGCCCTTCTTGCTGCAGCTGTTTGCCCAGCCACTACTAATAATCCTTGTCTCCCTCTTCAAGTATCCATTCTAGATTCCCTCCCTCTTAGCACATCTGGTGATCTAGGTGTCTAACTTAGCAAGTCAGGTAGACCCCCCATTCCTGAGAGCTGTGACTAGTCTGCATGCTCTTTTCAGATCATGGTTGGTATATTTGTATATTTACTGTCACAACTGGGCAGATAAATATCAAGAGATATTCCAGTGGATCATCTGAATATCAAATGCTTTTTTCCTTTTCTTAGATTCAGAGGTCCCATCTTCTCCTGATAAACATGATCAATTATCCCCTGTACTAAAGATGAGTCCTTTACATCCTAACTGGTCTCTTAGCATGAAGGGTCTGAAGTGATTGGGCAGCGTCTAGAGCTTAAATGGGACTCTTCCAACATCTCATGGTGAAATTGTTCTCTCTCTCTGAACCTAGATTTCCAGGCCACAGGTATTAGAATTGTAAGGGTGGAAAATATAAATTTCTCATGTGGGTTACAATATGTGATAAGCCACACCTGGCAATGGTCAGAGAGGTAGCAATGTCTAGGTTTCAGAGGAGGGCCATCCAGGATGAAATAGAATCCTAGTTCATGAATAGAACAATAGAGGAAACCAATGCAAAGTTTTAGGGTTCCCAATGAAAATGAGTTCAGGATAGAATCTATTCTCATGAGAGCTTGTCTTATGACACAGAACTGTGCAAGAAGCATTGGGATTGAGGAATTGAAGGAAATGCTACTAGTGGTGGATATGATTATTCAGGTACTTAAGAACTCAGATGTAGAACAACAGATTGTTTGCAGATTTCCTTTTTGAAAAGGTAGATGTAGGGATGGATGACAATAGTGCTTGAATATACTACTATGACTATCACTACTATTGTATAAGTATACAATTTTAACTCTATTCTAAAATGAATGCTAGTATGATTGCATGAAAACATGGTGCAAAATTACAAACCCAGGTGACCATGATAGCTAAGTTCATAAATTTTTCTTAAACTGGATAAACTTTCTTAGTCTAGTCTTCTGAAATTGCATGCTTCATCAGCATAGGTAGATATGACATGTGGAGAAGAGAGGAAGAGTGAAGTGGGTACAAGATGGCCAGAGCTTGAAAAAATTAAAAAAGGCTCCTAGATTTTAAGAAACTCTTTCTAGTGACACTCAAAACTAACAAAGAGTTTCCATTTAATGTGATAACTTTACTGAGAGATGCATCTATAAGGTACCCTGGGAGTTAGGAATAGGGGAACTTAAGAAGTACAGGCAATTTTCTTAGAGATG